AGTACAATGTCTCAGAGTCACCTGATAAATTTCCAATCCTCAATCCAGAAATAGTGATTCTCCTAAGAACCCTGTTGTTTCTGTAGAATACAAGCTATGCTTACTATCAAATTGCTGTTATTTCTAAGAATTTTCAGTGTGTAGGGCCAGGATATTGGTATGTTTTAGAAGAGAAGAAAATTGTGGTTTCATTCATTTTTTAAAAATACAAATTTAAAATTATAGAACTTACGTTAACTTTTCTGATTTATATTTTTATTTTTTCTCTGACTCTGGACATCAAAATTGGTAACAATATTCACAATTTTATTATTCACATAATTCTGCAATATATTTATAATAGGTTTGAAATAACAACACTGATAATATTACTGAAATTAAGAAAACCTAATGATCTTTAAGATTTCTGTGGTTTTTAATTTTATCTTTAAGGTATATCACACAGAAAATGTGTAGTCTAAATTCTGTGTACTAAGGTTACATGGAATAATTTCTTTGTTTTATATCATTGTTTTATCAACATGATGTAGAGTTAGATTCATTTAAGTTTGTTTTCAATTTTTAGGTGTTATTCTTTATTTTTTTATTTAATTTTGTTCGTATTTATGTCCTATCAATGGTCAGTTTTGGTAAATGCCCTGTGTGCTTGTGATAAATGTATTTTGTGGTACTGGGTGCGGTATTCTGTTTAAGTTCTATGTCAATTTTATTTATTGTGTTATTCTATTTTTCTATTTTCAATTGATATTTTTGGCTGGTAATATTGGTCACTGAAAGAGATGTGCTAATATTTCCTACCATAATTGCAGATTTGCATATTTCTACCAGTAGTCCTTAATATTTTACCTGTACTTTAGCCAATTTATTAAAGTTTGCTTGATGTATTTTGAGGCTTTGTAAATTTGGATTTGCTTTATCTTCATGGACATGAAATTTTGTCACGAGGGAGTCATCTTGTTTGCATGCAGTATTGCTTTTTGTCTAAAGGTCACTTTTGTCTGTCACTGATATTGCCATGCCAGATCTGTTTCATATTTGAATGGTGTGTCATTTTCTATATCCTAATTTGCTTTTTAATCTTGCTGTAATTCTACATTTTTCTTTAGACACCTCTCTAATTAGAGATTAGAAATGAGTTGAATATTTTTATTTTAGTCTGACACAATGAAACTTTTATTTGGAGCCCTCAGTCATTCTGTTTCACATAATTCTTGCTAGATTGAATTTAAACCTGCTATCTGATTATGTGCCTACTTTTCAACGTTTCTTTTCGTTTTCTTTACAATCTTGGCTTCTTTTCACGGATTGGACTATTTCAAAAAAATCAATTTCTGTTTTTTTCCTATATCAGGGTGGAGTTATAGGTCTGTTTTTATCTTTTAAAAGTCATCCTTGAAATTTTAGTGTACGTACTGATTCCCGCACAGTCTAAAGTTGGGCTCTCTGTCTGGATTGTACAAGTGTCTCAGGGCACTGTGACTCTGGCCACTCTGGCTGATGTATCTTCTGTTTTTTTCTTGTATTTGATTTCTATCTTTTTAGAACTCTAAAAATATTATATGTTTGTTTTAGACAATCAATATTCATTTAGTTTTAGCATAATTATCTTTTTGCTATTTATTATTTTTCATAATCTGGAGAGTCTACTCAGGATCAATTTTCTTCGGCTTGAAGTATAGCCTTTAGTGATGTCTGCTTATGGTAAACTCTCTGATTTTGGCTTCAGTCTCTTACTGGTTCTGAATTCTAATGTGAAAGTTGTTTTCTTTCAGCATGCAGTCTGCTAACTTCACAGCTGTTTTTGAGAGGTCTTCTGTTAGCCTTTTTTTTTTCTCCTTTGCTACTAAGAATTTTTTGTTTTTGGTTTTCTGTAGTTTAACTATGTCTCTTTGTGAGTATCTTTTTATTTATTAGTCTTCTAGTTTGTTGGGCTTCTAGAATGTATGTATTTCTGGCTAGTAGTTCCTCGAATATTGCTTCTGCTCTGTTATCTCACTCTTCTCTTCCTGGGATTTCAGCTAAATTCATTAGACCTTCACAAATGTGCTGTATATCTTTTTAGTTTGTGTACTTTTGTCTCCTTATGCTGCTATTTGGATACTTTCTTCTGATTTATCTTCAGATACACTGATTCTCCTTTCAGCTGTATCCATGGTGATATTACAGTTTATTTAACTTTGTAAAAATCCTCAGTGAGAGGGTTGGTCCAAATAACATAGATCATGATTGTTGGAAATTGTAGGTCTTTGATTATATCTTTAAATATGTTTTAAAAATTTTTATTTGGTTTATTTTCTTTAGGGACAGAAGTTATGTGTAGTGCAAAGTTCTTCTGTCTTACTTTCACATCTCCTGCATCCATTTTTTTTCTCATTCTTTCTACTCTGTATTCATTTTAACTGTGATCACTTTTCACTCCTCTTCTTTTCATGTTTCTCACAATGTTTATTTTCCTTTTATCTGCCTCCAGTTTGGACTTAATATTTTCTATTTTATCTGCCTTAAAAAAACCTTTGCCAGGTCATATTTTAGTTCCTTCCGTTTTCTTACCATGTCTTCCTTGAGGACTTTTAGTTTTCTCTTTTTATGCTCTCAATTTATAGAAGCAATTGTTTCACTGAGATTTTTAACTTTATAACAATAATTTTGGATCACAATTTTGACCTATGCTATAGAAAGATTTTGGTGTTCCTCCTCTAATTTCTTACCCTGTTAACAAAAAAGAAAACTCTCTTTTTTAAATTAGAATTTTAAAAGTAGATTCTATTCTATTCTATTAGAATTTTAAAAGTAATTTCTTTTTGATCCATCTTTGATGGAGATGAGTTCTTATTGGCTCAAGGATTCAAGAGAAGTTTGCTGTGGTTGACCGTACGTGACTGTGCTAACCATATATCTTAGTGGCATATTGCTGTAGGCAGGGATGAATTCTTACCTTTACCCATCTTCCTTCTTGCTTTCTCCATCCTCTCAGGGAGCTAGTGTAGATTGCAGGACTGCTCTCAGATGCCTCACAAGCAGCAACTTCTTTCTCCTTACAGTTCTCATCTGTGATTCTTCAATAATTTTGTCATTCTAAGCTGCTGATGCATTGAATTATGTAAAGTGTATTCCCTTCACCAGCGTGTGCACCCTATTCTGTAACTGGTAATACATGGTTGGCATCGCACTATAGAGTAAGCTTCTTACTTGGGAGAAATTTGTGCTGTTAGCCTTTCCTAAAATCTTCAACAAAGAGAATTCTTTCTCTATGTTTTTTTGGACCCCTGGTAGACCTTCAATCCTTTTGTACTTCTTCCTCCTAATTTATATTTTGAAGTTTCAGATGTCTCTTAGATTCACGGCAGAGGTTGTTTGTGTTTGTTTGCATTTCTAGTCCGTATTTTGATTCTGAAGATTTCCAAGAGGAGAATATGAAGCCCACAGTACCATTTTAACACCAGAAGGCAGTCCTTCCTCTGGAATACAAATGGCAAATTAAGGATCTGTATTTATTTAATACGATTTCACAGAGAGAAAATAATTAAACTGCAAATAAAGAAGAAAATGGAAATCAGGGAACATGGAGTTAATTCGGGCAACAGAATAGAGTAGTAAAAAGGCTTATTAATATGCATAGAGCTATGAATAAGATTATACATGAATAAGAGTGGGCTGTTAAGTAAAAGGGACAATTAGGGAACCAAAAACAAATCTTTGAAATTAAAAATCTAGTATTTGAAATTAAAAATTAAATATAGAAGTTGGAAGGTAGAGATGATAAAATTTCCTAATATTACTATTAGTACAAGCGCAACAAAACATAAAAGAGACACGATGAATGTCTTACAGGATCACTGTAGAAGACTCAGCATCTTATTTAATACTGGCTGCAGAAAGAGTGGACAAAGAGCAGGGCGGAAAGGAAATTGCAAATCACATAAGAATTGTCTTTAACTGAAGGACCTGTATGTCTAGATGAAAAGTGTACATCAAATGGTAAGCATAGTAAGTGAGGAAAAAGGCCTGCATTGTGAAATTCGCATCCTACAGAGAGAAAAACCACAGGTCTACATGCCAAGCAAAAATAATTAGAATGGCATAGGACTGTAAGATATTGGATAATAGGAAACAATGGCATATGCCTTTAAAATTTGAGGCTAAATGAATTTTAACTTAGAATTGTACACCCAGTCTAAATATTAATTGTGTTGATAGCCAGACATTTAAGGACTCAGAATATTTGTTTTCCACTCATCTTCTCTACGGAGGTGTTTGAAGGATGCAGGAAACGAGAGATGAAATCAAGGTAGAAGAGGACATGGGATCCGGAAAACATCATGATCCAAATCCAGGGAGCTGCTAACAGAAGTCCTAGGCTGAAGGCTCTTTGGGCTTAGAGTGAGACCATCTAATTGCAGCAGTACGCCGGAGGACTCAGGAGTGCAGCTGAGTGGCTGACATATCGCCCAGGAGAAGCTCAGCCACCGTCATTCATTTTAAAATCCACGGCACAGCAACAGCTAGGCCTGTTGCGGAGGAGGTGCCACCCTTTGAAAACAGAACTTACATGATTCAGCAGCCCTGAAAATGCTAGGCTAGAAGTGGAATGCAGATGTCAGGCTGAAAGCCTGTGAAATCTGAGTTTCTACCTAAGGAATTGCAGTCAGGTCCTTGAGTGTCCAAAAACCCATTCTTTCAATGCCAGCCGTGGGTGAGACAAGGTTGAAATTACTGATGGTGCTTTCCAGGTATAGCGGAGAGGCATGTGAAGCTAGACAGAGTCTGGAGACCACGGACATTTAGGAGTGGAGGAACCAGAGCTGCGAATGATAGCCAAGGGGTAATGGGCAGGGGATGGGGGAAGAAATACTGGATCAAAAAGGGAAAGCTCTGAATCGGGAAAAAGCATGAGTTCCATAAGTTCTCATCTATTGTATTCAGTTTTTCTGATTGTTCTTTTCTTTTCTTTTCTTTTTTTTTTTTGGTCAAACTTAGTATTTGCTTTGGTTTGTTTCTAGAGAGATAAGCCCCTTCTTATTATGGAATACTGGGTCGGCTGGTTCGACAGATGGGGAGATAAGCACCATGTTATGGATGCAAAGGGTGAGTGTTTTGCAGCGTTTGACTCCAGGAAACGATGGCCCGGGGTCCCCTGAGAACTCATTCATATAATTCTCTGCTAATTGATTCACCTGATCAGTCATAGATATTCGTGTAACCTTTTATATACAAGCACTCAGCCAGGATGGTCTGGTGGATAGAAATTACGTGGTTCCGACCCCCCCCAGAGGGTATAAGTTAGTGAGGTCCACAGGTCATTACAAAGTAAAGCCATCAATATATAGTTCCATGTTTGGCGGGTACTTTGAAGCAAACAAACAGGGTGCAGTGATAGAAGAGAGACCTGCCCAGGTAAGGTTAGGTGGTTACAGAAGGTTCTCTGACAGCGCAGCGTCTCTGGGGAAGGTGGAGCGTTAATCATCGCTAGCAGTGCATCGGTCCCGTCTACGGCCGTTGTCAACTAAACACTAACAACGATCAGGGGACGACTTACAGCGATGGCCAAGAGCATGGATCGTGCAGCCAAAGAGATGAGGTTTTAATCCCAGCTCTACAGTACTAGCCATGGGACCTCAGGCAGGTGTCCTTCGGTTTAAGTCTCAGTGACCTCATCCAAACTTGAGGATGATCATAAAAGCGACCTCACGGGGCTGGTGCAAGGATTAAGTGCTGCCACTTAGAGCAATGCCTGGCAGTCATTTACTTACTAGCTGTATGTGTCTACAGAAGATGTTTTGAAAATGCTATTATGAAAACAAGCCCACTTGTATCCGAAGTATAGAAAAACACTGAAAAATACTTAAGGCCTGGGAAAAGGCTGTTTTGGGTTAAAAACAGAAAAAAAGTCAAAGGACCACTATCACCACCAGTAACACCAGAAGCAGTGCTAGCAACAATAACAGTTTTCTGGTCTCTTGCATGGCTGGCACTGTGCCATGTTTCCACAAATATTACCTCATCAGTGAATGCTCTCATCAGTCTCATGATATCGTTGGAATGAATATGTTCATTTAATAGATCGGAAAGCAGTAGCATTGAGAAAGAAAATAGGTTTTCCAAGGTCGTACGAGCAGTAAAGAGCACAGCCAGAATCCACTCCCACTCTAAATGACTTTTAATCTTCTTCCCAGTGTGGCCAGTGGAGAGATGACTGTAGCTGTTAAAACGTGGTACAAAATAGAAGTTTCTGTGGCCAAAGATTAAGAGCAGCCACTGTGGACCACTGCAGTGTTTCCAAGCCAGTGTTCCCAGAAACATGATATTGGAAGGTAGTAACGAGGCTATGCTAATTATATGTATAATTTCAAAAAAATTTAGTGGAAATTAGATAGTTAAGTGACATGAGAATTCTTAGGCTCTTAATTAATAGGTATAGTTTGGAGTCCAATTACATCAATACTTTGGAAAAAAAGTTCACAAATCTCTTGGGATTGACAGGATTCAGTGTCCTAGAGTAGTTCTGGCCAATTCCACCCATTTCTTTGCTGCAATCTTTGTAGAGGTTGAATGATAAAACATTTGCAGTAGGTCTAACATCATCAGTAGATTCTTGGAAACTTTAAACAAAATGATACACAGCACATCCTCATATAATGTTGTTTCCTTCAACATTGTGTCATGGTAAAATTGAGAAAAAATTCAGTTTTGTTAGATATCATTTCACTTAAAGTCTCCGTTTCCAAGAATGTATAGACAGTTGTCAAGCAAGGAGTTACTGTTACTGATTGTGGGGTGGGTTGGAAATGCTAAGAGTTTGCTAGAGACTTTTGTCTCCTCTTAATTTTTAACATTCTCTTGTGTTCTCATCTCCTCCCTCTCAGAGATTGAACGTACTGTGTCTGAATTCATCAAATATGAGATCTCCTTCAATGTGTATATGTTCCATGGTGGAACCAACTTCGGTTTCCTGAATGGGGCCACGTATTTCGGGAAGCACACTGGCGTTGTTACCAGCTATGGCAAGTGTCTGCTGGTGTAGTGGTCTCTCCAGCATGGGTGGTGCTGGGGCTTTACAGAAGAGGCTCTGGAAGCCTGTTCTGGCATCACTGGGTTCTTGACCTATAATCTATGCTGAGTACTGAGGATTTTTCTATTTTCCTTTCTTCCGTATGTTCATAATGACCCAACAGGCTGTCATAGTGGTAGACAGGGCTTTCTGCACCTTAGAGCTCGGCTTCATGCCCCTCGCACACTGCCCTGTTGGCTTGAATCTCTGAAGATAGGCGGGGTACGAACGGTGACTGCTGTAAAGACACAGACTGGCACAGCCGGGCAATACAGACTGAGCAAAGAAAAGAGTATCCATTGCAGGGATGTCCAGCTTTTTGGCTTCCTTGGGCCACACTGGAAGAAGAATAAGAACTGTCTTGGGTCATAGGTAAAATACACTAACACTAATGATAGCTGATAAGCTAAAAATTTGCAAAACAGTTTAAGAAAGTTTATGAATTTGTGTTGGGCTGCATTCAGAGCTGTCCTGGGCTGCCAGTGGCCCGGTTGAACAAGTTTGCATTAGAAAGTCAAATGGGGGCAAGACCAGTGTCACAGAGGCCTTAGGTCCTTGGGACAAGTTGTGGGGAATGTTCCTAGACTGGCGTTACACTCCCACGTGGGACGGAACGTGTCTAGGTGGGAGTTACACACCCACGTGGGGCGGAACGTGTCTAGGTTGGCGTTACACTCCCACGTGGGACGGAACGTGTCTAGGTTGGCGTTACATACCCATGGGGGATGGAATGTGTCTAGGTTGGCGTTACACTCCCACGTGGGACGGAACGTGTGTAGGTTGGCGTTACACTCCCACGTGGGACGGAACGTGTCTAGGTTGGCGTTACACACCCACGTGGGACAGAATGTGTCTAGGTTGGCATTACATACCCATGGGGGATGGAATGTGTCTAGGTTGGCGTTACACTCCCACGTGGGACGGAAGGTGTCTAGGTTGGCGTTACACTCCCATGTGGGACAGAATGTGTCTAGGTTGGCATTACACTCCCACGTGGGATGGAACGTGTCTAGGTTGGTGTTACACACCCACGTGGGACAGAATGTGTCTAGGTTGGCATTACATACCCATGGGGGATGGAATGTGTCTAGGTTGGCGTTACACTCCCACGTGGGACAGAACGTGTCTAGGTTGGCGTTACACTCCCATGTGGAACGGAACGTGTCTAGGTTGGTGTTACACACCCACGTGGGACAGAAGGTGTCTAGGTTGGCGTTACACTCCCACGTGGGATGGAAGGTGTCTAGGTTGGTGTTACACACCCACGTGGGACGGGACGTGTCTAGGTTGGCATTACACTCCCAGGTGGGACGGAAGGCGTCTTCCTTCTGTCTCACTCTCAGTGGCCCTGGCTGTCTCACGTCAGCGCTGCTGAAACAGGGCCTGCTGTGGAGACTACATGGCACATTACCGGCCCTGGTGTCTTGCAGACTATGATGCTGTGCTCACGGAGGCTGGAGATTACACAGAAAAATATTTCAAGCTTCAAAAACTCTTTGGATCTTTCTCAGGTACTCAGCACCCATTTACCTTATGGGCCAGCCCTCGTGTAAGGAGTCTGTTCTGTGGAAGAGTGAGGATGGCAAGGGTCTCCCTTGTGGGCAGGAGTTTAACCGAGCTCCTGAGAACAAGGGCAACCTTCACTTCCAACCCTGGGTTTCCTGCTTAAAATCTGTGTGTTTTTTAAAAATAGGGGTTTCTAAGCGTTTTAAGCCTCAGTTTCTTCACTGAAACATAAAGGTAGTAACCCTGGTCTCCTGTGATGACTGTGAAGCTTAAGTTACTTTTTGTAAAGCTCTTAGTACCGTGGATGACATAGTAACCCCCAATACAAAAGCAAAAGCCATACTGGATAGGCACAGGGGAGGGGGCTTAGACAAGGCAGTGGTCATCTCAGGCACTTTTTGCCCTGTGCTCCATCTTCATTGCAGCAATTCCCCTGCCCCGAGTACCCAAACTTACCCCCAAGGCTGCATATTCCCCGGTGAGGCCCTCGCTGTACCTCCCGCTGTGGGATGCCCTAGCCTACTTAAATGAGGTGAGTGCTCATTGGCCACAGGAGGAGCAGTGGCCTTGGAGAGATGGGGAAGGGGATTCCTTCAGGAAACTGAAGTGGGAAGTGGGAAAACAAACTTGGGAAGTGGGAAAACAAATCATCTGCATTTCATCCAAATTTAGAGCTGTGGGACAAAAGCCACCAGCTCCTTCTGGGTGGACCATGAGGGGTCTGACCTTGGAGTCACTGTGCAGGGCAGGGGCGGCAGGATGTTGGAGGATCCCGGGTCCCCGGCAGGGGCGGCAGGGTGTCGGAGGATCCCGGATCCCCGGCAGGGGTGGCAGGATGTCGGAGGATCCCGGGTCCCGGCAGGGGCGGCAGGGTGTCGGAGGATCCTGGATCCCTGGCAGGGGTGGCAGGGTGTCAGAGGATCCCGGGTCCCTGCTCAGGCGAACCTATCTGGGGATGCTGTTGTTTGCACTTTGTGGTCCTTATGGAATCCATGTAGGAAGAGCCACTGGGCTGGGATCTGGAGACCAGCTTCTGCCCATGCTTCACCAGAAGCTGGGCCTGAACTTCCTGGGTTCCTGCTCATCCGTTCCCATCAGCCTTCCTGTCCTATTTTGAGGAAAGGTGAAAGCTGTTTGGAATGGTAACAGTGGCCCTTGAATTCACATTGGTTTCACCTCTGCTATCATTATCTTAGAGAAAAGGTGGTGACTGGTACACTAAAAAAACTAAATGTATTTAATGTAACTAAATTTAATTTAATGAAATAAACATTTGCTTGGTGCATAGTTCATTGCTAGACTTCAGCAATTTTAGAATAAAGTTTACTCTTTTTATTTTTTTTTTCTCGAGACAGGGTCTTGCTCTGTTGCTCTGGCTGGAATGTAGTGGCACAATCATGGCTCACTGCAGCCTTGAACTCCTAGGCTCAAGCAATCCTCCCGCCTCAGCCTCTTGAGTAGCTAGGATTACAGGAGGACACCAACACGCCCAGCTAAATTTTTAAATTTTTTGTAGATGTGGGGTCTCACTATGTTGCCCAGGCTGGTTTCAAACTCCTGGCCTCAAGTGATGCACCTGCCTCGGCCTCACAAAGTGCTGGGATTACAGGCGTGAGCCCCTGCACCCCAGCTGTGTCCTCTGTTAATCAGTTCTTAGGATTAGAGCGATTGCTCTCACGTCACCATGCCGTGCAATCCCCTGAGTTTCCTGAGCAGCGGAGACATAAGCACAGACATTATCACATGTCATGTATTTTATCATTTCCCATTCAAAGAACCCTTGGGGACCATTAGGTGGGACCATATCAAATGACAGGGTCTTAGGAAGGAGGATCCTCACTGCTTAGCCCTTGGGCTTCTGCTCCTGCCATTTCTCCTCATAGCCAGTCAGGTCACATCAGCCCATCAACATGGAGAACCTGCCCATAAACAATGGGAGCGGCCAGTCCTACGGGTTCGTCCTGTATGAGAAGTCCATCTGCTCCGGAGGCCGCCTCTGTGCCCACGCTCACGACATGGCACAGGTAGGGCGAGCAGGAAGCAAAATGCATCACCTCCCCGTGCTGTTGGGCAGGGTGGTTGACTGAGGACACACGTTGCTCTCTGATGACCTACTATATGGGAGGCCTTGGGAATAAAAAGTCAGGCCAAATAGATTTGTTTTCAGCGTTATCACCACTGAGAATCTCTTGGGGCCGTCTGTGAGCACCACAGCTGGCCCCTGCCTTCATACTGACCTCCTGCTGCCAGAATCACAGCCTCTCTTCTCCTTTCTTTTTTTTTTTTTGAGACGGAGTTTCACTCTTGTTACCCAGGCTGGAGTGCAATGGCGCGATCTCGGCTCATCGCAACCTCCGCCTCCCGGGTTCAGGCAATTCTCCTGCCTCAGCCTCCCGAGTAGCTGGGATTACAGGCACGCGCCGCCATGCCCAGCTAATTTTTTGTATTTTTAGTAAAGACAGTGTTTCGTCTTGTTGACCAGGTTGGTCTCGATCTCTTGACCTCGTGATCCACCCGCCTCGGCCTCCCAAAGTGCTGGGATTACAGGCTTGAGCCACCGCGCCCAGCCTCTTCTCCCTTCTTCAGGTGGGCCTCGCAGTCTGATGCTGGCTCTTCTTTTGCAGGTGTTTTTGGATGAGACAATGATAGGGATTCTGAATGAGAATAACCAGAACCTGCACATTCCTGAACTCAGGGTACGTAATTTAAGAGGCCAGGTGACGCCCTCGACTCCCCTCAGATGCAGACAGAGCCTGGCCCTGAGACAGTCAGCCTCCCTTCTCCGCCCCTGCTGTTGGTCCTGCTCCTCACCTGGAGCCGTAGCAGAAGTGTGCCTCCCAGGCCCTGGCGTCTCAGAAGCTACCTCGTGCATGCCGCAGTGGGAGGGGGATTTCCTCACTAAGCCCTGAGCCGGTCTGTCCTCAGCCCCTGGTGGAGTTTCTGTGCGTTCAGAGTTGGTAAAAGGCATAGCTGAGTCTCTCTGCCTTTCCCAGTAGGATCAGCAGAAGGGAAAGGGAAGATTGACTATGGAATAGGAACACAAGGGGGTCCTTAGGTGACAGGGAAGGCTGCTGGGCTCTGGAGCTTCCGTTTCTCCCATTTGTGTCTCCATATGGAACTGAGACAGAAAAATGGGTTGTAGGGTAGGTGCCCTCCATAGCTGCTTGGTCTCCATCAACCGGCCTGTCCCAGCAGGTGTGCCGATACCTGAGGATCCTGGTGGAGAATCAAGGACGAGTCAATTTTTCATGGCAGATACAGAATGAGCGGAAAGGTGGGCTCTGGCTGTGTCCTCTCCTCAGTTACTCAGACCCGAAGACCCAGGCTACTTGCTGGGGTTGGGAGGGATGAAGCAGCCTCTCAGCTGGGAGCGTCCCAGGTCCCGGGAGCAGAGATACAAAGTCTGCCCCTCAGGCTTGTCTTGCCTTCCCTGGATCTCCGGGGCCAGAGGGTGGAGCCAGGGTGTTCAGTGCTGGCTTGTTCTGGAGCAGGACCAGTATCCTTTTGGGAATTTCAGGGAAAGTTCCGGTACTCAATGGCAGGTCAGACAAACGTTTGCCCTCCTGGCTGAGCCCCTGTCCTAAGGCACGGACGACACGTCTGCGTTTCTTCGTTTCATACCTGGAGACTAGCCAGTCCTGCCTCATAGACTCTTTCCTGACTCCTATTTGCAGGAATAACCGGGTCTGTGAGCATCAGTAACTCTTCCCTGGAGGGTTTTACCATCTACTCCCTGGAGATGAAAAGGAGCTTCTTTGAGAGGTATGCACACTTCGGTGATCGGGGAACTCTGGGATTTCGTATTGCTCACTGCAGAGGTACAGGGACGGAGCGGCTTCCTCCAGGCGTCCAGTGCCTGGGCATCAGCACTGGAGCCCTGGATCAGGCGTCCTGATTCCGATCCCAACGTGTCTAGTCTACTCTAGCTCATTGAAACAATCCTGGGCCCGGCCCAGGCCACCTGGGTTCAGTCCTGGGAGCCGGGCTGGGAGGGGGACTGCTCTCCCACACGCTCGGCCTTCCTTTTAGGCTCCGCTCCGCCACCTGGAGGCCTGTCCCAGACAGCCACCCGGGCCCCGCCTTCTACCGTGGGACCCTGCGGGCTGGCCCTTCTCCCAAGGACACCTTCCTGAGCCTGCGGGTAGGTGCCGCCCTCTGCTGCCCTGCTGTTCCCAACACCGAGTTTAGTTTTCGAGCCCTGAAGCACAGCCAGTGTTCCTGGGGAATACGCCCTTTCTTCTTTTCCTCTTCTTTCCCCACCTCCAACCAAACCTTCCAACACTGATCAGTCGAACTCATTTATCACTATTTAGAGAATATCACATCAAAACAATTAAAAATTCAAACAATAGCAAGAGGAGAGAGCAAAGCCTGAAGATTCCCAACCCACCCCATTCCGATTCGCCTCTGCTTCTGAGAACTCAGCACTGCCAGCTGTGGGACATTTTTATATATGACTTTGTCCGAACACACACATACACAATTATTTTTACACGAATAGAATTGTGCCACGTACTATATTCTGCAACTTGCTTTTTTTTGTGTGTGTTGGCGGTGGGGGCGGGGGGCGGCGTGAGTTGGTAGGTTAGTTTTTACCTAGAATATCTTTTTCTGTATAAATACATATAAATAACATAAACATATAAAATGTGAATGTACAGATGAACAAACGATCACAAAGTGAGCACCATATGATTATCACCTAAATTTAAAAATACCGTGAGCACCCCTCCCAACCGCTGTCCCTTTTCTCTCCAAAGGTCTCTGCTACCTTGACATCTGACACCCCAGGCCAGTGTCCCCTATTTTGACTTTTTGTGAATGGAATCGTACAGGGAATATTCTTTTTCATATGTCTTCTTTTGTTCAACACTGTGAGGTTCAGCCATTTATTGATGCTGCAGTGACTTGTTCATTTTCACTGTTGTATTGGGTTCCTTTAGTAAATACACCGTAATTTATTTAACCATTTTGCTGTTTCTGAACATTTAGATGATATCTAGGGCTTGTCTATGATGAATAATTAAGACTTTTTTATGTTCATGGCTGAGATATCTTTGTCAGGTTTTGGTACCAAGGTTTAGGGCTCTCATAAAGGAATTTAGGGGGGGAATTTGTGTAAGACAAGTATTACTTCTTAAACATTTAATGGGCCAGGCATGGTGGCTCACGCCTGTAATCCTAGCACTTTGGGAAGCCAAGGAGCGTGGATCACTAGGTCAGGAGTTCAAGACCAGCCTGGCCAACATGGTGAAACCCCATCTATACTAAAAATACAAAAATTAGCTGGGCATGTTGGTGTGTGCCTGTAATCCCAGCTACTCCAGAGGCTGGGGCATGAGAATTGCTTGAACTGGGACCCAAGAGGCAGAGGTTGCAGTGAACTGAGATTACGCTACTGCATTCCAGCTTGGGCTACAGAGCAAGACTCCATCTCAAAACAAACAAACAAACAAACAAACAACAACAACAACAAAAACTAAAAAACCCAAAAAACCCAAACATTTAGTGGAGTTCATTAGTGAAGGCTTCTAGAGCTGGCATTTTCTTTTTGAGAAAGTTTGTAAGTGTGGATTCAATTCTTGAAAGCTTAAAGTACTATTTAGATTTTGTTTTAAAGTGAGCTTTGAGAAAATATATTTCCCTGGGAATTTTACCACTTAATCTAAAATTTTAAATATGTTTTCTTTAAAATGTTTGTTTTTGATGTCTAGATCGTTGGTAGTAGCATTCCCCTTGCCATTTGTTATAGGATATTGATGTACTCTTTTTTCTTGGTAATTCTCACCAGAACACTATCAATTCTATTAACCTTTCAAAGTACAGTATTCGGCTATGACTCTTACTATATTATGTATTTCTTTTCTGATTCTTTAATTTCTGTCATTATCTTTATTATTTTGTTTATTCAAATTCTTAGTTTAGGAGTAATTTGCTTTATTTTTATAATGTCTTGACATAGATACTTAGATACTGGATTTTTAGTCTTTATTCTTTTTAATTATGTGAATTTAGGTTACGAATCATCATTTAAGCATGGATTTGGTTGCATCCCGTAAGTTTTAAAAAATATTTTTTGAGGTAAAATTACATAACATAATATTAACTCTGTTAAAGTGAACAATTAAGTAGCATTTCATGCCTTCACAATGCTGTGTGGCCACTATCTGCAGTTCAAATGCATTTTCATTATCCTAAAGGAAACTCTATAACCATTTGGCAATTATTTCCCCATTTTCTGCTCCTCCTACCCGCCGGCAACAGCAATTTTTTTATTATCTTTATGGATTTGCCTATACTGGAAGTGAGTCCCATTCTTTTTCTTTTTCTTTCTTTCTTTTTTTTTTTTTTACATAGAATAAGAATAAATTTAATATATTTTATTTTCATGACTTAGGAATTACATTCTTCAAGAATTCAGAATGTATGTAATTATAAGCCATATTTCATATCAGTGCATCATTAATTTTTGTATTATACTTTCTATGATATGGGTAATGGTTGATATTGAAATACAGAAAAAATAAATTGTAGTGAGACAAGTGATGTCTATATAGAAAGAGATGAATCATTTTAGGGTCTTATTAGTTGGATAGTTGCTGCTTTAGGGTTACTATGTTAGCCTAACGTTTCAATCATAACTACAAATTCTATCTAAAAAATAATAAATGTTTCATAAGAAATGGCTGATACTAAAGGCCAACACTTCACATGTAGGTGGTCCTCTGAAGGTATCAAATTGACTTCAGTACTGGCATTTTAGCATGTCTTAAGGATGATTTTGTAAGGAGCTGGCAGGCAAATTAAACCCAACAAAAGAGAAGGTCTGCAAATTATCCTGCAGGTTCGGGCCAATCTTCTTGAGTCTGCCAGGAATTATGAAATACCTATTCTTGCTCTTTCACCTCTAAATTTTAATTTGGAATGTCACTTTTCCTTCATATGGCTGTGTGGATTGTTGAAGGTCACCTGTTTCACGAGGACTTGCACATACTGACAACTTCCATGTTTTTGGGGACATTGAGAAGCTTCCCTGGGACCAGAATTTTGCTATAGTAGGGCTGTGCTTTCTTCCCAGATTAAGGGAAGTAGTGTAGCCTGAAGGTGCCATTCGGCAGGTAGTAGTCAACCTAAGGGGCTGGACGTCCTGGCAGTGCTGTTCAGAAGGCTGCAGGCCACTCTGGGGACCATGTGGTTGCTGGAGAGAAACTTGATGATCTTTACCAATAAGTTTATATTTTTGTGCATTCTTGGTAATGTTTAAGGTCCTTTCTTTTCACGTTGAAGGAGTTCCTTTAGCATTTTTCGTTTTTGTAAGAAGCTGGCAGGCAAAAAAAGAGAAGGCCAGCACATTTTCCTGCATTTTAGGGCCAATCTTCCTGAGTCTTGTAAGGCAGACTTTACTGTAAGGCAGGTCTAGTGGTGATGAACTCCCTCAGTGTTTGTCTGAAAGTCTTTAAGTCTTCTGCATTTTTGAAAGACAATGTTGCTGGATGTAGTATCTATCCTTGGTTGCCAGTTGTTTTGCTTTCAGCATTTTAAATATATTGGTCCATTCCATGCTAGCCTGCAAGGTTTCTGCTAAAAAATCTGCTGTTAGTCTTAGACCCTATAACTTTCTGTGTATTTTATTGTCATCATCAATGAATTAAAATACTTCCAACTTCCTTTGTCATTTCTCATTTGACTTATGGATTATTTAGAAGTGCTTTTCTTAATTTCCAAGAATTTGGATATTTTATAGTTATCTTTTTGTTGTCAATTTCTTGCTTAACTGCATTATAGTCTGAGAAGTTTATGTGAAGACTAGTTTAACACATGGTCCAGCTTGCAAATATTCTGAGGTATACTTGAAAGAATGTGTGTATACTGTAGATGTTAAATCAATGTTCTGTCAATTAGTTCAATTTTGTTAATCATCTTTTCAAATGTTTCATATCTTTATTTTTATTTGCTTTGCCTATTGCCTATTGAAAGGTTGTATAAAATTTCCCACTATGGTTGTAAATTTATTTCTCTTTATTATTCTGTCAATTTCACTGATATGTTTTGAATCTATGCTTTTATTTTCCTTATGTATGTTATATGTAGATTTATGGTAAATTAAGACTTTTACCACCATGAAATGTTCCTGTTTATCTCTAATAATGCTTCTTGCCTTAAAGCATTATTTTTCTGAATATTAACAGGACTATAACAACTTCCTTTTGGTTAGGATTTACATATATTTATCCATTGTTTTTCTTTTATTTTTTCAGTACCTTATGTTTTTGATGATTCTCTTATACATAGCACATAACTACTTTATTTGAAATCCACTTCAGCAAATTTGGCCTTTAATTTTGAGCATTTCAGGGAGTCCAATTTTACACACTAGGCCTTTTTGTTACATCCCAGAATAAGCAAGTGCCTCTAGTGGAAAAACTGCCTGGACATCTCCTGTCTTTCCATTTTCTTCTTCTAGATCTTGGTTCTGTAATTCTTCATTACATTGCAAGCAAATTTTTAAAAAACGTGCAGCTTTTATATTAACCACTGTTAGCAGTGGTGTTCATCACTATTACCTAGTATTTATTTCTAGAAGTAGAAGATCTGCTCTTTAAAATATATAACATTATGTATCACACAACAGAAGCAACAGCAGCCTTACCATTAAAGGGTTAGTTCTATTTATGTTTTTCTCTTTAATTCCTAGACAGCAAGTTAGGAGTTCCAGAACATGTCCCACTCTGAACTCACTCTAAACTCACTTTGAGTGTCATAAAATATCTCAGTCTTGCTCTCACTCCCCAAGTGCCTTGGGTTTTACCTTGCTAATGTGAACCTATTTTTACATCTCAAGCCACCATTCCTTTCAGAACTGGAATTATGGATTCGTGTTCATCAATGGACGTAATCTTGGGCGATATTGGAATATTGGGCCTCAGAAAACACTGTACCTTCCTGGAGCCTGGCTTCATCCAGAAGACAACGAGGTGGGTCACTCTAATCTCTGCCTTGAGATCTCATAAGCTTTCAGATCAATGTGAATTGCAGTGTCTTTTTCATCCCGTACTAAACACGTTTCACCTTTCCCACTATCAATCTTCCTTTTCTTCTCAGGTCATTGTGTTTGAGAAGATGTTGAGTGGCTCAGACATTGAATCTACAGACAAGCCAATGCTGTAAAACCGTGTCCGAACACATTTTTTGGGTTACTGGAGTTCATCTATAAGTCATTTTTGGAGAAGAACATTTATGTTAAGATTATCTATCATAGGGTTGCCTGCAATGGCAAAAATGTGAAAATAACCAAAAAAACCCAGCAGAGTAATTGTTATGTATTTTGTAGTCTGTCTATATGATGCCTATTTTTAGGCTCCAACAAGTCTTCAAAATCTTTAATGACTGATTTATCTAGTTTAATGCTTAATCCTTAGCAGGCTCTTATTCTTTAATTAAATGTGCCTTTAAGTAGATGTGAATAAAATAAAAACAAGTTTCACTTCTGCCTCCCATACTCAATTGAGGGGAATGGAAAGGTCTGTAGCCTGGGGAAGAGTAAGGATATTGATTTCCCCATGCCAGAGAGTACTGTGTGTACTGATGGGCAAACTCATGGTCTCTGTCCTCTCTCTCTCTCTCTCTTTCTCTCTGTATATGTAGGAGTAGGGAAAAGCAGAGGGCAATGAGCAATGTCTTTAGGCATTTCCCTTCAACTATGTGTCCACAAGGTGAGCCTGTGTGCCACATCCAATCAGAGAAGGAACAGCAATTTTGTCATTTGTTTCAGACATGTGTGACAACAGAGCTTAGCACAGGGTCCTCTGTGTCTTCTTACTCCCTGTCTATCTGGTTATAGTCAAGGCTACTAATGATAGTGGGTAGATATCAGTGAGATTAGCCACACACATAGGAATATCCCAATCACTCTGAAAGCCAGTGGTACCATTTGAGAAAAAAAAAAATGGTACCATTGGGAACCAAGCACTTTCTTATATACAAAACACAGCACTTGGCCTAAATTCAAACCAATGCGTTATAACCAAATCTTATCAACCTGTTAAATATAGTGCCTAGGGCTTTTGAGTAACTTAGTGAGTATTCTGGTGTCCAGAGGGAAGAGAACCCTCTGTTTGGAATGAAGATAAAGGTGTCGGATTATCTTCTCTCCCACTAGTCTGAATGACTATCTCAATGGAAGAAAATTCTGTCAGGTACCTCCACAATTCTACATAAAACTTTGTTGTCTGGGGACCTAGCCACAAACCTGTGAACTCTATGGAAAATGTAGTGTAAAGGAAGAAAGCAGAACTAATAATCATGATGATCATGAGTACAGATTATATATTAAGATGGAACATCTACAACATCTAAATTTAACAACAACCATGCAACATATCCATTCGTAATGTCCTCTTAAACACTGAGTCCAAACATATAGCAATGAAGTAATGCACCTGGACTTTAAGATGACAAAAATCAGCTGGGTGCAGTGGCACGTGGCTGTAATCCCAGGACTTTGAAAGACCAAGGTGGGTGGATCAGTTGAGGTCAGGCATTCATGACCAGCCTGGCCAACATGGTGAGACCTTGTCTCTACTAAAAAAAAAAAAAAAAAAAAGCTAGGCATCGTGGTGGGTGCCTGTAGTCTCAGCTATTCAGGAGGCTGAGGCAGGAGACTCGCTTGAACCTGGGTGGTGGAGGTTACACTGAGCCAAGATCATACCACTGCACTCCAGCCTGGGTGGCAGAGCGAGACCCCATCTCAAAAAAAAAAAAAAAATCATCTCTGAAATTTTCTGTGCATTTCAGCTTTCATTTCCACAGAAAGATGGTAGTGTCTTTCATGAGGTGTCATGGAAGGGTAACTTCTCTCTGGCCATGTCACCGGGTTTACTTCTTTAGCGAATTTCAGCAAATAAATCATTAGTTGCTTATAAGGCCTGTGTTGCTGTTATTCTCTGTAAAGCATAATATTAAGACTTTTTTTTTTGCTTATGCTTTTTTTAAAAGCATGAATTAGGTGCTATTCAACCTTTCTGAATGTCTTGCATAAAGAGATAAGAGAGTTTCAAAATCTTTTGTATGTCATGGACTTTGATTTTGGTTGAAGAGCCCCTACCTTAAACTGTGCTGAAATTTCTTTCTAAATGCAGAGCTAAAAGTCATGAATGAAACAATGATAGATTTGTAATTCCTAAGCCATTTACGGCCTTAGCCATGTTTGTTCTTTCTTTGCCAATGACAGTTACATGGCGACTTTATTTCCTAATTTTTTATTTTATAACGATTTCTTGGATTGTTGTGCTATACCCAGAAATCATGGCAAAGAATGAAGGAGAAGAATTGTTAAAATTTTCATTAAGCTACCGTACCAAACTCTAAGGCAACTTCTATTTGTTTCTGCGTACCCAAATATCTGATATAAGACATGGATACTTAATAACATCACTGATTGATACACAGTAAAATATAAGTCAGGAAAACATATTTTAGTAACATGTTTTGTAGAAGGAGCTTTGTACCTTGGAGTCATAACTTGGGCAAATTTAAACAATTCTTTGGCCGCCAAAAAACTACTGAAAATACCGGGATACAGCAATTATTCCGAGAAGCTTTTTATTTAGTCTCCACAGACTCAAAGCTATAAGAAATTACCTTTTAAAAGTATTATTATAAGTCTGTCCTTTGAAGTTAGATTAGTGAGAACATAATGTGCCTAATTTTTGCCTACCGCTATCATTTTTTCTTTGTACTTTTCCTGTTCTTTGTTCCGTCTGAATTGAAAATGATTTATTATAGATGTAGCTGCCGTAAAGAAAAGTTTCACTCTGCCTCCCATACTCAATTGAGGGGAATGGAAAGGTCTGTAGCCTGGGCAAGAATAAGGATACTGATTTCCTTACTCTTTTGGAAAAAGAAGACTTTTTCTTCAAAGATTCATGGCCTGAATTATATTAAATAATAAAAATAAATTTAGTTTATAAAAGGCACGCACGTTGTTTAGTGTTATAAACGATATTCATCAAGCAATTTTAAAATGAAAAATTATGACATAACAATCTTTATTATGTTAATATATATTTATTACTTATACATTTAAATTTGTACTTCATATGATATAAAATGTTTACATATTTTATACACATATTTTATGTTTTAACATTTTTTAAATACATTACTGGCTTAAAGAGCATATATTCTTCCCAAAGTTATAAAGCTAATATACTCTCTCAATATTCACATAAACTGTCACTCTATTTCCTTATGTGCTTCAATATTTGAAAGTTCTTAATAATTGTTTTTGGACATTAAATCAATAGTTTTTATAAGAATCAATAATTGCTTTATTTTACTTTAACCTATTGATGAAATTTTAGTGTTTCACTTTATGTTACATCTCAAATGCAGACTTGCATTTCAAAGTGAATACAGTCGTCCTTCAGTATCCCTGGGGACTCGTTCCAGGATCTCCTGTGGATACCAAAATCCACAGATGCTCAAGTCCCTGAAATAAAATGAGGCAGTGTTTGCATATAATCTACGAATATTCTCTTGTATCCTTTCAATCATCTTGAGATTATTTATAATATTATTTATTAGTATAATATAAATTCATGTTGTAATATGTATTATTTATAATATCTAATATAATGTAAATGCTATGTAAATAGTTGTTATACTGTATTGTTCAGGGAATAATTACAGGAAAAATGTTTGTACATGTTTAGTACAGATTTTTTTTTTGTAGTTTTCCTTTTTTTAATTAAAAATGTGTGGGTACATAGTAGGAGTACATGTTTATGGACTACATGAGGTATTTTGATACAGGCATGCAATGTATAATAATCACATCAACATAAATGAGGTGTTCATCACCTCAAGCATTTATCCTTTCTTTGTGTTACAAATCACCCAATTATACTCCTACAGTTATATTTGTTTATATATATATATATATATATATATATATATATATATATATATATTTATTTTTGAGACAGTGTCTTGCTCCGTTGCCAGGCTGGAGTGCAGTGGCGCAATCTTGGCTCACTGCAACCTCCATCTCCCGGGTTCAAGTGATTCTCCTACCTCAGCCTCATGAGTAGATGGAATTACAGGTGCACGCCACCACGCCACTTGTGGGGTGTCTCCACTCAGATGTGTCCCAGACTTCTCCAATGCAGCAGGTCAGAGCTAATTTTTGTATTTTTAGTAGAGATGGGTTTCACCATGTTGGTCAGGCTGGTCTCAAACTCCTGACCTCCTGATCTGCCCACCTCAGCCTCCCAACGTGCTGGGATTACAGGTGGGAGCCCCCTTGCTCTGCCTCCTAGAGTTATTTCTAAATGTATGATAAATTATTGTTGATTGTAGCTACCCTGTTGTGCAATTAAATACTAGATCTTATTCATTTTATCTAAATATATTTTTGTACCCATTAACTATCTCCACTCCCTCCACCCTAGATATGAATTTTTTACAAAATTATATCTTTAATCCATGGTGAGTTGAATCTACAGGTGTGGAACCCATGGATACAGAGGGTTAACTATGTTCTGATATTAATAACAAATTCCAGAGACATACCTCACTCTCACACGCTGTGGGTTTAAAATTAACCTCAGCGATCACTCTGTTGCCAAGAATGCAGTGAGGCCTTAAACTATCCCATGTGCTCCAACCTAAAGCTAATCCGTTCACTTGGTCACCTTGTCCCTACACTTCACCTTCTCAAGGGTTTCACACCAGAAATTCTCTATGGTCTCTCCTACCTCACCAGCTTTGTCTGCTGATCAAGATCACTCTGAGTGCACAAGCATGCTGTGGCAGAAATGAAAACAGCACACAGGCCTTGATTCGGTTCCCTCTTCTGCCCCAGCTACCATCTCATTTATGTGTTCCCTTTCTTATTTACTTATTTACTTGAGATGGAATTTTGCTCTTGTTGCCCAGGCTGGAGTGCAGTAGTGCCACCTCTGCTCACTGCAACCTCCATCTCCCGGGTTCAAATGATTCTCCTGCCTCAGCCTCCGAAGTTGCTGGGATTACAGGAACCCGCCTCCACACCCAGCTAATTTTTGTATTTTTAGTAGAGATGGGGTTTTACCACGTTAGACAGGTTGGTCTCGAAATGCTGACCTCAGGTGATCCACCTGCCTCAGCCTCCCAAAGTGCTGGGATTACAGGTGTGAGCCACCGCACCCAGCCTATGCGTCCCCGCTCTAGCCTATATCCTTGAATGAATAATCTATATTAACTGTCTTAGATCTCTCTTCACCCTTTCTTTCTGAACCCATTCCACTTCGCTTCCTAAATCCCATGAGCCTCAAGTCTGCCCAAGCTGCCTGTGTTCAGTTCAACAACATTTGCCACATACTAAATCCACGGGTCAATCCTCAGTCTGTCTTGTTTTCTTCTCCTCCTCCTTTTTTTTTTTTTTTTTAATTGAGATGGAGTCTCACTCTGTCACCCAGGTTGGAGTGTAGTGGCAT